CCTGATTTGATTTACAACATCCTCTGTGCTGATAGAAATCTATTGTAATTAAGGTGAATTCTAGTCTATTATGGTGAATTTAGTCATGATGGTTATGTTCTTTTGCTATTGATTTGATTTATGAGATCTTATGTGATAATTGAATTCATCATATAAATTAATTTTTGATCTTAGAGCTCTTGTCCTCAATGATTCATTGATCTAAAATTTGCAGCTTGTTGAGAGGAAAGAAAATTTTTGTTTACTCTCTATGGATTATTAAAGTACAGGAAACATTGAGGTGGTGCAAATGTTTTCTTTCACCTTTGTTATCTTATTGTATGTATGATTTGATAAGTTGTTGATAGATAACATGTTAACTAGAAATATTATGACATAGGAGATGCTATCTAGAGTTATTTAGGAGGTGGTAGGGATAAATCCTTTTCCAGAGAGGGAGAGGGAGAGGAAAAGGGAGGAGTAGGAGGGTGGCAATTATAATAATAGGAAAAATTTGCACGGTAAAGGCTGAAAAGAATTGTGGGTTACTTGTCAATTTATACATCGCGAGCAGCTATTAAGTTAAATGTTCCAGAGATGAGGATGCTCAGGTGGATAAGTAGCTTTACTCTTAGAGACATGATACGAAATGAGCATATACATGAAAAGGTTGGAGTAGTTCCAGTGGAAGATAAGATTAGAGAGAGTCGTCTTAGATGGTTTAGTCACATAAAACTGTGACCTCTAGATGGCCTAATTAGGAAAGTAGTTATATTAGATTCCGCTTATGTTAAGAAAGTTAAAGGTAGACCTAAAAATACTTGGTTAGAAAATATTAGAAATGACCTTTTTATTAGAGTTAAATGAGAATTTGACTCTTAACATGACATAATGGAGAAAAAGGATTCATGTTCCCGACCGCACGTAGTGGGATAAAGACTTGTTGTTGTTGAGCAGCTATCATAGAGCCAAAGGATGAACTTACATTGAAGATATAATTATTTTTGTGTTATGGTGAGCAAATTATATTTTTCTTGTGAAAGTTTTGAAAGGTATATTAGTAGTCATATAATGACATGTTGAATAATAGGAAGATATCAAAACTTTTCTCAATCATGATAAGTGATTGGTTTTATGATAGTGTTGACTAGATGGAAAAAACATGGGTGGAGAGAAGGGGGCTAGAGGAGGCACGACGCCCCAAAATTTAATGAAAATTTTATAGTATCATTATTAATTTTTATTGAAATAGAAATAATAGAGTTAAATCGTCACCTTTATTTTTTTAATCATCTCCTTGTAGCTTTGGTTTTATATGAAAATAAATTATATTAGGATATTATAATCAAAATTTCATGTTGATAAATTAATTTTTTTTTAAATTTGTTTTAAGATAGATGCTCTAATAAGCTTTTTGAGTTATGATTATTATAAAAAATGGCTACGAAATACAATTGGAGATTAGTATACAAAAGCAAACCTAAATCTAGGACTAATACCTAACAGTATATGAATGATATTTTAATCATTTTATTGAGAAATAAATATTTGATTGTATTGATAATGAAGAAATTGTTAAACTTTTTAAGAATATGGAAATTAGGCAATGTTAATTATAATTATGTTTTTTTTTACATCTTATATTTTACCTTTTTAAGAAAATAATTACAAACTTCTTCTTTTTTGAATTGCCAATTTTGGCCTCAAGTTTGGATGAAAAAGGTTGAGAGAATTTTTGAAAAAAAAAATTAATTTGTACCCCCACAAAAAAACTTACCTGGTTTTGCCATTCATAAAGGACTCGTATCCACAAGTTCATCCGCCACCCCAGTCACCATGTCCATGAGTACCACGACTATCTTTAGTGCTAGCAATAATGACACTATGATCAACAGTAAAAGGAGTAGTAAACTTAAGACCTAAATAACGCGTGAGAGAGTGATGGATGATTTTGGGATCGCAAAGTTGACCATTAAAGTGTCTTTAATAGATTGGAGTGATGGATAAAGGTAATCACACATGGGAAATAATAGTTATTTGTGTGTTGTAGTAGACAGTCATAGTTATTTTGGGAAAGTGTTTTAGAAAGCATATTATTGGAGTTAGTTTATTCCTAGTGACATGCTTAGTAGTGGGATGATATCTCAACATTCTTTAATAATGATAAGATAAGTATTCATTTGCTTCCTTGTTGATGGAAATTGGTTTTTAGAAACTGTTTTTTAATGCATTTTATTAAGAGAATTTTTAAGTGGCGTTTAGGAGTTGAAAATCAATTTGATTTTTATTTACTTTTAACCAATTGATATGAGACAGAGTGAAACAGATTACATGTTGTTTTTCTAAACCTGCTTCAACTTCTTGCAACCAAATGGGTCTGGTGCCAAATCAACATTGCCTATTTTTGATTGCCTAATGCCTATCTATCTCTCTTGCTCCTTAAAAAGTTGTAGCGTGCGAGAATGTTTTTTTTAAACATTTTTATATGCGAGGTTGTGCTGTTGATTTTATGTTTTCTCTTATCTCTTTCTTGTCAATCTAGACCGGCGCAAAGGTTGTTTATTCAAAATATGCTGGAACTGAGTTGGAATTCGGTGGAGCCAATCATATCATTTTGAAAGAAGATGACATTGTGGGCATTCTCGAAACTGATGATGCCAAGGATATACAGCCCTTGAATGATAGAGTTCTTATCAAGGTCTGGTTTTTTTTTTTTTTGTATAATTTAATTTATTATGGATCATTACTGTTAGATGTTCTTCTCTCATACCCATCTTTTTCCTGTTTACATTTGAATGGGCCATCAGATTCTTTTTCCAAGCATAAATGCTAAAATTCATATATATTTTAGTAGGTCATTTGAAGTCTGCTATAAGCTAACAATTTAATCCTGCATGTTAATTTCATTCAGGTTTCCCTTGCTGAGGAGAAAACTTCTGGTGGCTTGCTGCTGACTGAGGCAGCCAAAGAAAGGCCTTCAACTGGGACGGTGAGTATCTTGAGTTGCATTTTTTAGGTTTCAGCCCACCTTACTGCTTCTTAAAGCAGATTTTTAGTTAAAATTTTTTATTTTTTACTAGAAAGTTGCTTTAAGAAGCAGTAAAAAAAGCCGTCCCAAATGAAGCCTTAATTTGTGGTCAAATTCTAAAATATAAATTTGCTTTACTTCTATTTCTATGCTGATCAAATTTCATTTTTTCTGTGGTTAATAGGTTATCGCAGTTGGTCCTGGTCCATATGATGAAGAGGGTAACAGAAAGCCATTGACGATCAGCGCTGGAAGCACAGTCCTGTATTCAAAATACGCTGGAAGTGAATTCAGGGGGGCTGATGGTTCAGATTACATTGTCTTGAGAGCATCTGATGTGATCGCTATTCTCTCCTGAGTTTCAGAGTTGCCTGTTGTCTAATTGCATTGGCTTTTTTAGGTGAGCTATTACTGAGGCCTTTGTTTTCTCAAGCATAGTTTCTGTAGTTTTGGATTTGATTCCAAGTTGCTCAAGTCTTCTTCTTCTTCTTATGTTCTTCTTTTATTTCTGAACTTTTACATGGAACTGTGATTGGAATTTACTTAATTAAGCATATAGATACTTACATTTTGGGTTTGATGTTAAGTAGGCTTCATTTGGGTGGGAGAAATTATTCTGTGCAGATGTCGAACGCAGTTCACCGTCCTGAGACCAACCAGAATGCGCATCGTCAGCGGTACCGAGCACGGTATCGAGTGAGTGCGATACTGAGGGCGGGTACCGTGGGAGTTGGGATGACGTGATATATTTTGGTTGGCCTTTGGACGGCGTTCGGCGTTCACACAGAATAATTTGCCCACGCTACAAGGGTTGAAATTGATTTGAGTCATCAATTTTGGTGCAATATTTAGATGTATTGAGCAATGAATGCATGCGTTTCTGAATATAGAAACATTTATTGGTGTCAATTTTTAATCCACTTGGTTAGAGGGCTTTTATTATAAATATATTGTAATGACATCAGTTTCTCAACTACCTTTCAATCTGTAGGATATTTTTTATGTCCAATCTGACATGAAATTTTTAACTGGACTTGTTTGACAATATTTGATAGGAAATTAGCTTTTTTTGTGAGCTTGAATTTGCCTCTTGCAGTCAGCAGAGTGCAAAGTATGGAGTTTTGTTTTAACAGTTTATATTTTTATGTTTTCTTTAATGAATTTAAGGTATATAGGGCTTTTGTGTATTGGAATATTCATTGTAGAAGGGGATAATAGACTTAGCATTAAATGTAAATCTCAGAAATATGGATAGATAAGTTTATAAGAGATAAAATTATACATATTGTAAATTTTATGAATTTTAGATATTTGGGGTGTGTGTGTGTTGGAATTTGGGGTATCAAAATGGGTTCGTAGGTTGGGTTCAATTCCAATTGAAAAATTGGTCCACTCTT